AAGGCCCGTCCCAAACGCCGCCGGCAGGCCAAGCTGGGCCCGCTCCCTGCCGAACCGAGTTGCCGGTGGAGCGAAGCGGAGCTGGCAACTTGGTTTGGCGGAAGAGCGGGCCCAGCTTGTATTCTCTTGTTGGATCCTAATTATGTTAAAATTCGACACTCATCTATTTTCAGCCAACAAAACACCCAATTTTAGCTAAAATAGTATGCCTCAAGCAACCCATGAATGCGCATGGTTCAACTACACAGACCCCACAGCCCGCAGCCACGCCCAGCACACCAAAATCCATGCATCCATGCGTGCGCACGGTTTAACTACACAGGCCCTCTACGCACTTACTCCCGCACGAACCGCTGAGTATCGTCGGCGAACGGTAACGGGCGATTTGCCTCTAGCTCTTGTGAACTCTAGCTCTTGTGCACTTTAGCTCTTGCGACGCCTAGCTCTTGTGAAGTCTAGCTCTTGCGACGCCTAGCTCTTGTGGACCCTAGCTGTTGTATCTCTAGCTCTTGTGAATCCTAGCTCTTGTGAAGGCCGTCGCAAGCCGCGTTGAAAGCGCGGGCACAGCGGCCGGCTTCGGATGGTATTGTTGTGCATGGAGGGGGACGGGGAGCCCAGTTGTTAAGCAGGGTAAGGGGTAGGGGCCTGAAGCGACACTCACTCAGGCACTCGGACACGGTTCCGCCAGGGCTAAAGAAATAGTTTTTTGGTTTCCGCTTGATTCTCTTGCCGTTTCGAGAGATGCTAGCTCACACATTAAAATTACTTCTATATTCTTCACGTTTAGTCAAAAGGCTTTCAAGGTATCATCTGCTAAAAACTATTCTCAGAAGATTTGTTGAAAAATGAGTAATTTTGGGGGTGACTTTTTCAATATCGAAAAAAGGGTCACGACGACTCACCCTACCGGCGATTCGGTAGAGGCAATGAGCAGCCACCAGCAGCTCGTGCCTGCAACTCGGACCCCTGCGACTGGCTCTCCCTCCTAAGGGATCATCCAGAAAGTACGTCCGTCATTTGCCGTCGCGAAGCTGCCAAGATCAGCCCCAGCAAGCTCTCGTAGCGCCTGGTAGGTAGACAACATCTAGTCTGCAGTGCATGCGGGTACTGTGGGGTGGCCTACCTTGAGTCTCCCAGGCACCGAGCTCCCCTAATCTGCCGAATTAATTTGAGGAAAACGGACGTACTTCCTGGACGATGCCCAAGGCCACACGAAAGGGCGCCCCCGCACAGCCCACGAGGGTGCGTCTCGCGGCCGTCCCGGGTGGCCCCTACTCACCTTCCGCCTGCGGACTCCAGGCTAGGCAAACCCGCAGTGCCGATACTCCCCTTTCAGAGTCAGGATAGACAACCATATCAGTACGCCTGCTGAGCTGGTTGTGGCCTGTCAAGTACAGCTCCCTTTCCCCCTGCCCTTGTCTTGCATGGAGATATTAAATGATCAAACATTGATTTGAACAATTTATTGTTTTCTGTTAGGGTTATATCTCTTGTCTTAGCCTGTCAACAAGCTAATTTTTTCCTCTTCTGTGTCACATTATTTGTACCAATTTTCCGAAAGCTCAATTAAAGTCGCAGCACAAATATTGTTAGGTAATGGGACACTGCCACTTAAGGTGCCCCCACACTGAACGCTCTCGGTGTGTCCGCGTCCACCCTGTCCGCCTGTGTCCGCCCGGACATATGTCAGCCTTTGCCAACTTGTCGACAGCAAAAAGTCCGGTGTGGCGGACATCTGTCCGGGCAGACAGCGGCGGACACGGCAGACGCGGACACACCGAAAGCGTTCAGTGTGGGGGCGCCTTTAGTAGCTCTAGTGGCCATGTGTATACAGTACTTGGTGGATGACGAGTCAGGAGGGAGACATCTGCTTTATTCTCTGTTGTGTTAATGTATGATATTAGTCCAAAATAGTAGGCCGAGCATTGATCTGCTGTGAAGTGTAAAAAAAAACATTACATATTTTTTTAATTCATTATTATGAAAAATGGTGGACGTTTTGTAGCTATGACTGTCTCTCTAGGGGCACCACCTTGCAATGGACTGTCCAGAGCCAACCTAAATCGAAAACACTTTGAACCAGGATCATCAGCACGGTTACGTTTTGATTTTGAGAGAATACTGAAATATCTAAAAGCAAAAGCTCAGACGCAAAACAGGCCCTTCTGGTTTTGCGAATCCACAGATAACGTGGATACTGAGGACAATCTTGTTATTAATACGGCCCTGGAATGCACCAGTGTTGTAAGGTGCTCGTCAAGGCACACTTGTATGCAACGCATGAGGCAGTTTTTGGGTAAGCTTGTATCAGGTCACGTAATTTTTTTTGACAAGGGTCAGCTGTTGACTAAGTATTGCATGATCCAGGCAATATCCCAGGTCCTGTTGACACACTTGAAGAGTTGGACCCCCCAACAAAACTTCAGGATTTCATGGATCCAGGCAACACAGCTGCATCAGGTACTCTTAGAACATTGACGACATCCAGTGCTGTTTAATCATAACTAGATGAATAGTATATTTCAATGGAGCGCTGCCCGGATCTAAGAGGAACAAAAGAAAAGCGAGCAGCGCTCCATTGGAATATCCTATAGGTTTCGCAAATCGCAAAAAGAAGGAATAACGGGAACCTCGGTAAGCGTTGCTCGTGGTTCACAATAACAAAAATCTAGTCATGAGTCACAGGTTCCTGTTCCTCCGGCCGGCCTGACTACATTGTGGTCGTGTAATGCCGGTCCCTTCGGCCTGCATGACCAGATTGTGGCCATAATATGCCGGTCCCTCCTGCCACCGGTGTGGCAACTTTGTGGTCATGTATCGCCACGCCATGACCCTCGCCACACCCCTATTCACCCCTTATTACCCTCTAATTATTAAAATATGAATTGAAAAGAGGAACGGGGTGAGATAATTACCATTGCTAAAACTGAAACGTTAATTCATAAAAAGATAGGGCCGTGTCACTCGCTTCCACTTTAGCGTGAGCTTAGGTTTCTTATCGGACGACAGGTTTGGATTTGTCAGACTGTTTGCACTGTAAAATGCTTGCAAACTATATTCTTTGCAACGTTGCAAAGAATTTGTGAGCATTGTATTGCAAAGAATTAGTTCGTATTGCAAAGAATTAGTTCGTATTGCAAAGAAGTTCTTTGCAAGCTGGCAGAATCCTTGCAAACAATGTGTTTGCATTGCAAAGAAATTGTTTGCAAGCTTGCGAAGAACTAGTTCGTATTACGATGCTTGAAAATTCTTTGCAAGCTGCAAAGAAAATAGTTTGCAATACGAACCTGTTCTTTGCAAGCATTTTGCAGTGTGACGGACCAGGCGACGCTGATTGTTAAACATCAGAAGACGACGCCCATAGGAGCCCTTTGAGTCCAATTCAGATGTTTTGACTAACTTGATTGAAATGATCAAAACTCTTTACTGGTCATACCTTTAAATGTATTTGATGAACTGCCAGCAGCTGTGCGCATAGTGTTGTTTTTTGACCAACCTCACTGAAACTCTCCGTAAAACAACTGCAAGGTTCCTGTCATATGCCACCCTTTCCTGGCCGGCCTCTATAAATATTAGACGCGGTAATTGTTGACCCGTGCGCGCCTGCATTTCGTCTGCAGATGTGGCTGGAAAGTTAATTAACGACAAATGACGCGCAAATCGTCCCATCGCACGGCAGTGAGCGCGGAAAAAAATATTCGCTGGTATTTAGACAGGTAACCTCACTAGGTAGACGTATGCCCGAGGGGGCCACCACTCCTGAAATCATGTGTACGCCCTCCCTGAAATCCTCCCGAAATCATTTGAAATCCACCTGCAATCATGAAATCATGCGTTAGGGTAGGTGATACAGTTATGGGACGGTTAAGCGCACACTTTCGTTTGACGCAGCGCTGTGCGTCTCTCGATTAAAGACTAGCTATATGTACGCCAGACCACGTCTCGCGTA